AATTGTAAGTTATGTTTCACTTTATAACCTTGGTAATTACTTTTATTGGTTCCTTCAATGGCAGAGGTTTATTGAATCTGAGGGCACCGACTGGTGGCTCAGCGTAAGGTATATTCAAGAACTCATTAACACTTGTATTCAATACTTGAAAGGTCTGTCCTCTCACTACACCAGAGGTTGTGTTCACATCTAAACACAAACCCCATTCCCAACACAATTGAATTACACATAAATAAAATGCAAATTTGATTAACATTTTTAATACAAAACTTTTCGTTTAAAAATAGTTTTCAAATTATATTGAATGTCACATGAATTGAGTAAATCTGAAAATACTAACTTTAATACTTGAGTTAAGGATTTATAAGCACACTGCTATCTATACCTAATCAATAATTATGACATTTATTATACCTCCCAGGCTGATATATTTTATTAATAACTTAACTTAAATGTGAAATGTCAATTAATTACAGTTCATATAACACAACATAATTGAATTATACACATAATAGTAACTTAATAGTAAATACTTGATTGCACAAAAATATTTTTATATTTAATGTATACTTAAGTTATATTCTGTATAATTCCTATTAAATAGATTTATCGATATAATTTTAATCAATTATAAAATATGTTACATTTCACATGGTGATATAAAAATGTTTTATAAATCATAATAGAATTTTTGTTTTTAAAATAAAATATTGATTAAATACTAAATTTACACAATAGTTTCTTAATTAATAGTGGAAAGTTTTGTTTTATTAATATTTTATTTTGTTGATAAGTATGTGTAAATCTGATAAATAAATTTTCCATTATTTAATCATCCAGTCATAAAACTAGTGAATTATATCTCATTAAAAAATAAATGACAAAATAATTGGACGAAAATGTTTTTAAACAAATAACTTTTACCCAAAATGTATGCATTTGTGTCGATTTAGTCCTGAATTAGTATTAAAACTTTTGCCACAATTTTCTTCATTACATTTGAATTTTCTTTCATTCAAATGAACACTACTTTTGAGTCGATTTAAAGACTCTTTTTGTTTTAAACTGTTTGTGACATTCACTCCAATCGCATACATATCTCACGTTTAAATGAATACTATTTATGTGTTTAAATAGGTTTGAGTTTTGTCTAAAATTTTTGCCACAACCATTAACATTACAAACAAATGGCTTTTCACCAGAATGCTTGCTTTTATGTCCAATAATTTATTGGCAATAAATGCTGATTTAGATGTAAAGCTTTTACGACAATTTTCTTCATAACATTTGTATTTCTTTTCATTCAAATGAACACTACTTTTGTGTCGATTTAGATTTGATTTCCCATTAAATGTTTGCTTACATTCACTCCAATCGCATACAAAACTTGTTTTTAAATGAAACTTATTTTTGTGGCGAAATAGGTTTCCTCTTGATGAATAAACTTAATTACAATTTTTAAAATTACATTTAAATGATTTTCCATTTGAATGAATCAATTGATGTCTAATTAATTCCTGTTTTCTATTAGTCTTGTATTGACATTTAGGCCAAAAACACTGGAAATAGTGATAAGTGTTGAGTGTATTAATGGTGTTGTGATTGGAAAGCATTTTATCACTTATTTTACATGAATTCAAATCAATTGAATTGCAATTCAT